TAGCAACCTCAAACTCCTGGGCTTAAGCAATCCTCCTGCCTCAGCCTCCCGAGTAGCTGGGACTACAGGCATGCGCCACCATGCCCGGCTAATTTTTTCTGTATATTTTTAGTTGTCCGATTAATTTCTTTCTAATTTTAGTAGAGACAAGGTTTCGGTCTTGCTCAGGCTGGGTTCGAACTCCTGAGCTCAAACAATCCGCCTGCCTCGGCCTCCCAGAGAGCTAGGATTACAGGTGTGAGCCACCGCGCCCGGCCGTGTTGCCTGTGCTTTTGAAATCTTATCCCAAAAATCTCTACCCTAGACTAACGTTCCAGAGGTATTTCCCCAATGTTTTCTTTTAGCAGTTTTATAGTTTCAGGTCTTACATTTAAGTCTTTCATCTTTTTTCATTGATTTTTATTCATGGCAAGAGATAGGGGTCTAGAGGTTTTTTTTCTGCATATTAATGTCCAGTTTTCTTAACATGATTTATTGAAGAGACTGTCCTTTTCCCAAGTTCTTGGTGCCTTTGCTGAAAATGAGTTGGCTGTAACTGTGTGGATTTATTTCTGTATTCTCTGTTCTGTTCCATTGGTTTATGTGTAAATCGGATAGTGTGATGCCTCTAGCTTTGTTCTTTTTGCTCAGGATTGCTTTGGTTATTCTGGGCATTTTTTGGTTCCCTATAAATTTTAGGATTTTTTGTTCTATTTTTGTGAAGAATGCCATTGGTATTTTAATAAGGATTGGAATCACTTGGGATAGTATGGACATTTTAACAGTTCTAATTTTTCCAATCCATGAGCATGAGATATATTTCCATTTACTTAGTGTCCTCTTCAGTTTCTTTCATCGGTGTTTTATAGTTTTCTTTGTAGAGATCTTTCATTTCTTTGGTTAAATTGATCACTACGTAATTTTTTTGTAGCTATTATAAATGATATTGCTTTCTTTATTTCTTTTTCAGATTGTTCATTATTGGTATATAAAAATGCTACTGATTTTTGTGTGTTGATTTTATGTCCCGCAACTGTATTGAGTTCCTTTATCAGTTCCAAAAGTTTTTTGGTGGAGTCTTTAGGTTTTGCTAAATATAAGTTCATGTCATCTGCAAATGAGAATAATTTGACTTCTTCCTTTCCAATTGGGGTGTCCTTTATTTTTCTCTTGTCTGATTGCTCTGGCTAGGACTTCCACTACTATGTTGAAAAAAATGGTGAAAAGTGGCATCTTTGTCTTGTTCTAGATTTTAGTGGAAAAGCTTTCAATTTATCCTCATTCAGTATGATACTAGCTATGAGTTTGTCATATATGGCTTTTTCTTGAGAATTTTTATTACGAAGAGATGTTGAATATTACTGAATGCTATTTCAGCCTCTAGTGAAATGATCAGGTGGTTTTTGTTCTTGATTCTGTTAATGTGATGCATCGTGTTTATTGATTTGCATATATTGAACCATTCCTTATATTCTTGAGCTGAATCACACTTGATCATGGTGAATAATCTTTTTAATGTGTTGTCGAATTTGGTTTGCTAGTATTTTGTTGAGGATCTTTGCATCTCTGTTAATCAGGGATTGGCCTATAGTTTGTTTT